CCTATACAGTATATCCCGGTAAATTTGCCCGATGCAGAGCCGAAGGCTCACCAACTCTTTTTAAACGTTACATTTTTGAGGGGGAGGAGGAATAAAATATTCTTCTCTGGATCCGAGAAGTTGAAATAGTAATGGATGACGCCATGCTCGTATTAGAAAAAAAGCGAGTTGGCTCTAACCATTTATAAGCTCGGTGAAAAAGCTTGAGGGTGAGCTTTAACGAGCGACGTCTCAGTAAATGCTGCATTTACCACGTAGGAAATGCTTAAATAGCAATTAACTTGCGTGTTTGCATCGCCTAATCAGCCTTATCGTGTGCGCTGACGCTTCTTAGCTACCCGACAAGGAAAGAAGGAATTGTCGGACTATGTCGAAGAGTTGAAATGTAGCGGAGCTGCACAGCTCTTTAGCCAGAGGAAGACTTTAGGCTGAAAGCCTCTTAGTTCTAGAGAACTAAATAGAGTTAAGGCTAAAAGCCACTTAGTTCTAAGGAACTAATTAAACGACTTCTTTCTAAGGAACTAGGAGAGAGACTTTTAGTCAGTCAAGCAATAAGCTTAAGGTTCAGAGGACCAACGCACAGAGTGCAACAACAAGCTAGAAGCTTAGAGGTTCAGAGAACCAACGCACGAAGTGAACAATAGAACAAGTCAGAACGACTTGCGATCTTAAACTCAAAAGGAGAACTGATTATATTTATGCTTTAAGATTTTTATGAATAGTCCTACTCTAAGTACATTACACTAGATTAATTACTATAATAGTAATTATTATATGCAGACTTTGCTATTGGACGACGTATCGTCTAAACATCTGTGTATGATGTACTTAGTACAGCGTTATCGATTATCGAATCTCAATCGATAAGATACGGTATTACCGAATACCGTATCTTTAACGCTTATACTTAATACCTCTCTAAAGAGAAGTATCAAGAATACATTATATGCAATATAGAAACATCAACCGTAAACTTTCGGAATGATGGGGGGGGCAACCGTCGTGTAAGCCCGTTACACAAAGAGTTAACTTTCGTAGCACTTCAACCAAGTTCTTCACGCTCTGCTTGGGAAAAGATGCCGATCTCCGGGTCGACGACTTGCTGGTCCTCTCAGCTGCTTTTGACCGCGAACGTTGTAGCGGCGTAGCATTAGAAGTCGACGCTTAAGTAGATGAAGCCTCCTTGGGACGCGAGTTTCGCTTGCTTACTTAAACCTGGGTCGAACCCCCCCCCCCCCCCGTCAGTAGTCGGACCATATGCGCGTGTGGCGCCGCCACTCGCCGCTGGCCTTCCACGGGGAGAAAAGGGTGGTGTATCCTTCCTTGGACAGTCTCTCAAAAAAGACTGATGGATCTTAGTTATTAGTGGTTCCTTGCAAGCTTCATCATTAGCTTGGCCGTAGTTGCCTGTAATGATTCTGTCAGTCCGGCGTCATGCTGAAAACGCCCATCGACATCGAGACGCTGAAAAGTCAAGACGCTTACTGTTATGGCAACATGGTGCATACCGATAAAATCGCGATAATGTTTAAAATGGGAAATTGCCCCTCCTGGCCGCGCATTTTGCACTTGAAAAATCCGCAACACCTGACCGAACTACAAATTTCCATTGCCAGTGCTGCAAAGTGAAACGAAATTAATCCATAAGAATACATGAAAGAATCGCGAGTTTTGGTTATCAATGTATCGCATAAGTACTCAATTGGTTTTGCCTACTTGCTGCCGCACTCGGCTAGATCAAAGGTGAGGATCCTAAAGCTGGTGTGTTGATATCGAACGTAATTGCAACCAAAACCACACTGGTAAGCTTTTCATGGGTATCCATCGTGGTATTCAAACTATTGGGTACTCGGATTTCATTGGGATGCCAACCTTCGTGCTTCGTATCAATTGATTATGTCTCAAATTGCCTTGCATGGGAAGCGCAACACATATAGCTGAAATGTTTATGATTTTGTCCGATCGTACCTACCTACCGACCCGATTCTTCACTATGATGACCAACTATCGCATACCACCTACGACAATATTGCGCTGGTCTACGCTTCTAGATGTTAACAATCGATGGCTCTCGTAGAAAAGCATTTAGGTCCATTCTGACAAAATAACACGTCTACATCCGAAAATATGATTGTTTGTTTACTCGTCGTTTAAGTAGTGCTCGGACCTTCTACCACGTCGCGCTAAGTACCGGACACGCTCTGCCACGAATGAATAAACTCTGTCGCTGGAACGGAAACTGTGTCGTCGAATGGTCACAAACTGTGACCGGCTCGTAGCAGAGTCCTTTTGCGATTTCTCAGCGGATACGCATCCCTTCCCAAGTTACAATATACTTAGGTTGATGAGGCCTCCCTGTCGACCCACCCTCGAACGTGACAGCACGCACGCTTCGAGTGACAAGAGTGGCTGGAAGTTAAACGCAATACAGAGAACGCTGTTCACGCACGCGTTGCAGCACGATTGGATGTTGTCAGCGGCTACGGACCCGAGCACATCGAGATCCAGCAACTGATTCCCGAGAAGATCAAGATCCAGCAACTGATTCCCGAGCAGATCGAGATTCAGCAACTGAAGCCCGTTCGCAAGCTGAGCGCCTCCGCTACCGATGTTATCGCACTGCGACGCCTGTGTCGTCGTTTCACCCAGCGCGGTCTGTTCAGTCATGACTCTCAGGTTACGGGTGCTGGCGATTCCGACAGATTCCACCAATGAGTTGGTGGCATCGTGCTGTACGGAAAGCGGAACATCGGCGGACGCGAGAGTTGAGGCAAGAATGCCGGCTACGATCAAAATGTGTGAGAACATTGGTCGATTGGAAAGTAAAGGAAGAGTTTGTCGTCAAAGAGGAGATTGGTGAATGAGCTTTCGATCAGCTGCTCTTGAGCTACAAGGACGACTAGCGCGGATCGATGGGGTTAAGATAAGATACTAGAAAAGCCCTGTAAACTATCATGCGTTTTAAGACGTTTCGGGCGACTGAAACGCTGAAGCTTACAGTTTTGGGAATAATGAGGGGTCGGTCGTTTTGAGAATAGTCAGGATTCGGTCGTTTTGAGAAAGCCGTGACCTCAGGTCCCTTCGTCTTTATACGGCAAGGGTAAGATTGTAGTCTTGAGACTGTAGAGCCATGTTGCCACACAGTCGTCTGTGCCTGACTCAGGTTGAGACCAGGTTGGCAACTTGGCAGTAAGGAGCTTTGAGTCTGAGACTCTTTAAACGGTTGCAGTGGTGGCTTCGACCTGCGGCACGGGCAGTCAGACGTCAAGGCGACAGACCTCATCTTAAGTGTAAAGCTCAAAAGTCCTCGATTACCTGGAGCTCTCGTTCAATGACAAGATGGTTCGCAACAATCTCTCCAACGATTCCACGCAACTGTCCAACTGTCCACTTGTCCATTCACCACGTACCAACTGGTGGTAAAACCTGGCATGTGCACATCAAGCTTGTCTATCATTGTAAGCTATTGTGCGAGCGACTAGGCCAATGAAGTTTTTGAGAAGTTCCAACTACCAGTACCTTTACCATTTGTAATACCGTGAGATTGCCTGCTGGAAATTGCAGTCTCAACCTGTAAACACAGAACCGTGAACTGGTCTTGCATTTGACACGAGCGATCCAGAAATGTTCACGAAAGAGCGTACATTTGGGTATTCTACGAAAATCCGCAACACCTGAACGAACTACTATTTCCATTGCCAGTGCTGCAAAGTGAGACGAAATCAATGCACGCGAATAGATAAATTAGGAGGTTTTACACACATTGCCATCCCCTCATGGAGCTGTTTATAACAACTTTACGCCTCCCAAAAAGCTTCAATGCAGTTGGTACAGCATCCGCTGAGTCCCAGTTCTTATCAAATAGTCGAAAAATCATCCCGTCAGACCAATTTCTCACTCCTAATCATCACAACCGTTCCTGATAAAAAAAATTTTGTCGAAGGCTGCGTTGACTTGGCTGCTGGTGCTTACTAAAAGCTGATTTAGACCATATTCCTTCACATACGAGGAGTGGAAGACAGATCTCGTTTAGATCCTTGCACATCAAACGAAACGGTGTAAACGAGTTCGAGACGGATACGATTCTTGAAGAGTGCAATAGCTCTCCTCATGTGTCAGTCGCCATTGGCCTCAGTTCAACGACTGCTACTGCAACACAGCCCCTTTGTCAAACTTATTCTAGGTGATGGATATCAGGAGCTGGTAGCTGTACTTACACGTCATGAAAATAGATGGTTCAGTCATATATTATTCCTGATATCTTCATGTAATGCTGTAACATTGCGCACTGACTATTGTAAGTCAACTAGCATAACTCTTTTGAAACCTGCAGCGCGCGTGTGTGATGGTCATAGATCTAATTAATAGCTTATCATCATTAGTTCCTACCATTAAAGCGTGGTGCCAGATGCTGCAGATCACCGTGACTTCTTTCGCGGTAGTTTTGTTGTCATTTTTATGTCGGCTTGGGTGACGTTCTAGATGTGTTGAGAAGTTGCTTGTAGAAGCGAGAACGCATTACTTCCACGTTACGACATGCTAATACTGCGTATCCACTCCGTGACAAGTCGGATAGGTCGCATTTGCAGCCGTCAATACGTGGTGATTATGCGTGAATTATTCATTCTTGACTTGCGACTTTCCCTTCTTCAGATTACACTGAAACATGGGCTGGAACTCTGAACTGCTTGTTAAAAGTCTCATTTCGGAACAGTTCCTCAGTACAACCATCGTCCAATACAAGAACTCAAGACTTACGCATTCCGCGAAGACAACGTTGGACAGTTCTCAGCCACCATAGTTAGCTGTATAACGGTCGATAATCTCTTTCGGGAGATAATATTATGGAATTATCATGAAACTACCCTTTCATTTTATTTGTTATGGTTGCCTGAATCTCTGAGCTGCAAAATGCTTTTCAACTGCTATGTAAAGTGCACTTCGTATGGATATGGTGCTACGAAGTAGGCTCAAACAACTTTCAGATGTCTGCCGGATGATCACATCCGTCTCAGAAGCGTCGGTACCGTCGGAAGCGTCGGTACTGTCGGTACTGTCGGAAGCGTTGGTACCACCGTCAAGACATCAGGGACCACCGTTAGGATATCAGGGACCACCGTTAGGATGTCAGGGACCACCGATAGGATGTCAGGGACCACCGTTAGGATGTCAGGAACCACCGATAGGATATCAGGGACCACCGTCAATATATCTGGGACAACCGTCACTATGTCAGGGATTACCGTCACAACGTCAGGGATCACTACAGGTGGCTGTGTTGTATCAGTAGGAGGCTTTTCGGTGTCATACTTCTTCGAGGTCATTTTGGATTTGTAGACATCGTATGCGTCGTGAGTTGGGTAGGTCTTGTCACTTGACGGGACTTCAGTTTGGTAGTTGTAATCAACAGTCGTCTTAGATCCCTCAACAACAGGATCATAGTGCCCACCAGCGTTATGGTGATAGTATCCGGCAGTACCATGCTGATAGTATCCGGTAGTGCCATGCTGGTAGTATCCGGAAGCGTCATGCTGATTATGTTGGGAAACACCTTGCTTATAGTATCCGTCAGCACCATGCTGATAGTATCCGGTAGCGTCATGCTGATTATGTTGGGAAACGTATTGCTTATAGTTTTCGTCAGCACCATGTTTATGGTGTTCGGCACCGACATGCTGGTGGTGTCCGCCAGCGCCATACTGATAGTGTTCAGCAACGCCATGTGGATAGTATTGGTCAGAGCCGTGTTCGTAGTGACTGGTACCGCCAACTTTGTTAGCACCATGCTTCTGGGGTCCGGATGCACCGTCTTCAGAAGCGCTGTTCCTCTGGTGTCTGGCTGTGCCGTCTTCAGCAGCAGCATACTTCCAATGTCCGCTAGCGTCATCTTTAGCAGCACCATGCTGGTAGTAGCTGTCATGCTGATAGTGGTCGGCACCGCCATTCTGATGGTGTTCGGCACCGCCATTCTGATGGTGTTCGGCAACGCCATGCTGAAAGAGTCCGTCATCGCCATATTGATTGTGTCCGTCACCGCCATCCTGGTGGTTTTCGGCAGCTCCATACTGATAGATTCCGTCATCGCCATGTTGATTGTATCCGTACGCGCCGTTCTCAAAGCGCCCGGCAACACCTTCTCTATCAGCGCCATGCTTTGGGTGTCCGGTAGCTCCGTCTCTATCAGCTCCATGCTGCTGGTGTCCGTCGGTGCCGACATCAGTAGCGCCATGCTCGTATTTCTTGTTAGCACCGTCTTTAGAAATGCCATGCTTTTGATGTCCCTCATTGCCGACATCGGCGTTGTCATGCTCGTATTTCTTGTAGGCACCGTCTTTAAGAGTGCCATGCCTCTGATGTCCGTCAATGCCGACATCAGCAGCGCCATGCTCGTATTTTTTGTTAGCACCGTCTTTAGGAGCGTCATGCTTCTGTCCGTCAATGCCGACATTAGCAGCGCCATGCTCGTATTTGTTGTTAGCACCGTCTGTAGAAGTGCCATGCTTCTGATGTCCCTCATTGCCATGTTCAGCATTACCGTGCTCGTATTTGTTGTTAGCACCGTCTTTAGGAGTGCCAGGCTTCTGTCCGTCAATGTCGACATCAGCAGCGCCATGGTCGTACTTTTTGACAGCACCATCTTCAGGATTGCCATGCTTCTGATGTCCCTCATGGCCGTGTTTAGCATTGTCATGCTTCTGGTGTACGGCGTTAACGTCTTTATCAGCGCCATGCTTCTGGTGTCCGTCAATGCCGACATCAGCAGCACCATGGTCGTACTTTTTGACAGCACCGTCTTCAGGATTGCCATGCTTCTGATGTCCCTCATTGCCGTGATCAGCATTGTCATGCTTCTGGTGTACGGCGTTACCGTCTTTATCAGCGTCATGCTTCTGGTGTCCGTCAGTGTCGACTTTAGTAGCACCATGATCGTACTTCTTGACAACACCGTTTTCAGGAGTTCCACGCTTCTGATGTCCCTTATTGCCGTGTTCAGCATTGTCATGCTTCTGGTGTATGGTGTTACCGTCTTTATCAGCGCCATGCTTCTGGTGTCCGTCAGTGTCGACTTTAGCAGCTCCATGATCGTACTTCTTGACAACACCGTCTTCAGAAGTACCATGCTTCTGGTTTCCAGCAGCCATGTCTTTATCAGAGCCATGCTTATGGTGTCCGTCTGCGTCGTCCTTAGCAACGCCATGTTGGTTGTGGTGGCCCATCATTTTGCCACCTTCCGTGGTTGCTCCATAGTTGCCGGATCTCCCATCTTTAGTAATATGGTTTGTAATGTCGTAGCTGTCGTTTGTAGCGCTCTCCTTCTTCTTGCTGCCGAAGGTACCAGTGGTCGTGCCCGTGGTTGAGCTGCCATAGTGTTTGGAGGTAGCGCCGTCGCTCTTGTGGGTCGTGCTACCGTAGTTTCCCGTTGTAGTTTCGCCAACTTTATCCGAAGCAACATCGCAGTTAACACCTAGCGGCATGTCAAGGGTCTTGTCGTACTTTGCTCCTTTGTTGCCGTACATCGCGATGGTATCGGCTTCTGCAGCTAAAGTGTATCCCGTCTGAGGGAATGCACACCCCCACGTGTCGTCGACCACGAGGACGCACTGAGCGTCGACTGGGGCAACGCACACCGCTCCATTATAGGACAAAAGGTAGGGCTGGCAGTTGGTAGAAGCAATATCTCCAGCTTTGGGACAGCTCGTGCCGGCGGGCGTCGCTCCGTCACCCGAGCAGGGCAAGCCGCGAGATTTTGGTAGCAAGTAGGTGGCATCATGCTGCACGGTAACGGGGACTTTGACTTCTGCGGACGCAATACCCGCAGCCAGAAGACCGGCTAGTGCTAAATTTCGTGAGGTCATCGGTCGATTCGAAAGGAAGGTCGATGTTGCCGCCAAAGAAGAAATTGGAGAATGAGCTTTAGATCGCGAGAGACAAAGCCAATTGTCAAAGGGCCATGCCATAACGACAGACATCATGAGTTTCTAGGCTGTCAGATCGAACCCAGGTTCGTGAAAAAACGCACCTCAACAGCTTTGTACAGTGTATGATGAACTAGTTGTCCGAATTTAAAACCGATAACACCATGAGGAACCCCGTAACGGCGGGGTCTAACGCGGTACTACTCATAAACCCTTCGGCTTTCTGCGCCTTTCGCTTATTTTTAACGGCTTCAAACCTGGAAGGGCGCCCAGTGACGTATCTAACGTCTGATAATGCACAATACCCGAACAGCTCCTGACGTATATCTATGTCAAACCGTTTAAATTTAAGTAAGGTAAGCTACGTGGGAGCCAAAAGCACATGTGATTTTTACGGTTTTAAATTCGGACAACTAGTTCATTATACACTGTACAAAGCTGTTGAGGTGCGTTTCACGAACCTGGGTTCGATCTGACAGCCTAGAAACTCATGATGTCTGTCGTTATGGCATGGCCCTTTGACAATTGGCTTTGTCTCTCGCGATCTAAAGCTCATTCTCCAATTTCTTCTTTGGCGGCAACATCGACCTTCCTTTCGAATCGACCGATGACCTCACGAAATTTAGCACTAGCCGGTCTTCTGGCTGCGGGTATTGCGTCCGCAGAAGTCAAAGTCCCCGTTACCGTGCAGCATGATGCCACCTACTTGCTACCAAAATCTCGCGGCTTGCCCTGCTCGGGTGACGGAGCGACGCCCGCCGGCACGAGCTGTCCCAAAGCTGGAGATATTGCTTCTACCAACTGCCAGCCCTACCTTTTGTCCTATAATGGAGCGGTGTGCGTTGCCCCAGTCGACGCTCAGTGCGTCCTCGTGGTCGACGACACGTGGGGGTGTGCATTCCCTCAGACGGGATACACTTTAGCTGCAGAAGCCGATACCATCGCGATGTACGGCAACAAAGGAGCAAAGTACGACAAGACCCTTGACATGCCGCTAGGTGTTAACTGCGATGTTGCTTCGGATAAAGTTGGCGAAACTACAACGGGAAACTACGGTAGCACGACCCACAAGAGCGACGGCGCTACCTCCAAACACTATGGCAGCTCAACCACGGGCACGACCACTGGTACCTTCGGCAGCAAGAAGAAGGAGAGCGCTACAAACGACAGCTACGACATTACAAACCATATTACTAAAGATGGGAGATCCGGCAACTATGGAGCAACCACGGAAGGTGGCAAAATGATGGGCCACCACAACCAACATGGCGTTGCTAAGGACGACGCAGACGGACACCATAAGCATGGCTCTGATAAAGACATGGCTGCTGGAAACCAGAAGCATGGTACTTCTGAAGACGGTGTTGTCAAGAAGTACGATCATGGAGCTGCTAAAGTCGACACTGACGGACACCAGAAGCATGGCGCTGATAAAGACGGTAACACCATACACCAGAAGCATGACAATGCTGAACACGGCAATAAGGGACATCAGAAGCGTGGAACTCCTGAAAACGGTGTTGTCAAGAAGTACGATCATGGTGCTACTAAAGTCGACACTGACGGACACCAGAAGCATGACGCTGATAAAGACGGTAACGCCGTACACCAGAAGCATGACAATGCTGATCACGGCAATGAGGGACATCAGAAGCATGGCAATCCTGAAGACGGTGCTGTCAAAAAGTACGACCATGGTGCTGCTGATGTCGGCATTGACGGACACCAGAAGCATGGCGCTGATAAAGACGTTAACGCCGTACACCAGAAGCATGACAATGCTAAACACGGCCATGAGGGACATCAGAAGCATGGCAATCCTGAAGATGGTGCTGTCAAAAAGTACGACCATGGCGCTGCTGATGTCGACATTGACGGACAGAAGCCTGGCACTCCTAAAGACGGTGCTAACAACAAATACGAGCACGGTAATGCTGAACATGGCAATGAGGGACATCAGAAGCATGGCACTTCTACAGACGGTGCTAACAACAAATACGAGCATGGCGCTGCTAATGTCGGCATTGACGGACAGAAGCATGACGCTCCTAAAGACGGTGCTAACAAAAAATACGAGCATGGCGCTGCTGATGTCGGCATTGACGGACATCAGAGGCATGGCACTCTTAAAGACGGTGCCTACAAGAAATACGAGCATGACAACGCCGATGTCGGCAATGAGGGACATCAAAAGCATGGCATTTCTAAAGACGGTGCTAACAAGAAATACGAGCATGGCGCTACTGATGTCGGCACCGACGGACACCAGCAGCATGGAGCTGATAGAGACGGAGCTACCGGACACCCAAAGCATGGCGCTGATAGAGAAGGTGTTGCCGGGCGCTTTGAGAACGGCGCGTACGGATACAATCAACATGGCGATGACGGAATCTATCAGTATGGAGCTG